AATTTTAAGAGTCCCCCTTCAAATTTCTTGCAGAGCTGGTTTCAGTGGTCACATATTCTTTCAGTTCCTGCCTGTCTTGGAAGCTCTTTAGCTCTCCTTCCATTCTGAATGAGAGCCTTGCTGGATAAAGTATTCTTGGTTGCATGTTTTTCTCATTTAGGACCCTGAATATATCCTGCCAGTCCTTTCTGGCCTTCCAGGTCTCTGTGGAGAGGTCTGCTGTTACTCTGATATTCCTCCCCATATGTTAGGGATTTCTTGTCTCTTGCTGCTTTAAGTATCTTCTCTTTATCTTTGGAATTTGCAAGCTTCACTATTAAATGTCAAGGTGTTGTACGGTTTTTATTGATTTTAGGGGGGGAATCTCTCTGTTTCCTGGATCTGAATGCCTGTTTCCCTTCCCAGATTAGGAAAGTTTTCAGCTAGGATTTGTTCAAATACATATCCTGGACCTCTGTTCCTTTCGGCACCCTCAGGAACCCCAATTAAACGTAGATTTTTCTTCCTCAGGCTGTCACTTATTTCCCTGAATCTATCCTCATGATCTTTTGTTTGTTTCTTTTTTCCTCAGTTTCCCTGTTTGCCATCAACTTGTCTTCTCTGTCACTCACTCGTTCTTCCACCTTGTTAACCCTTGTCATTAGGACCTCTAGTTTGAAAAAAAAAAACGACCCTAGTTTGGATTGCATCTCATTTAATTGATTTTTAATTTCTGCCTGATTAGATCTAAATTCTGCAATCATGAAGTCTCTTGAGTCCTTTATGCTTTTTTCTCGAGCCACCAGTAGCTTTATAATAGTGCTTCTGAATTGGCTTTCTGACATTGAATTGTAACCCAAATTTTGTAACTCTGTGGGAGAGAGGACTGTTTCTGATTCTTTTGAGGTGAGGTTTTCCTTCTAGTCATTTTTCTCAGTGCAGAGTGGCCAAAAGCAGTTGTATTGGGAATAGGAGAAAAAGAGAGAAGAGAAAGAAAGAAAGAAAGAAAAAGAACAAAAGAAAAAAGGAAAAGAGAAAAAAAGGGTAGAAAAGAAAAAGGAAAAAAAGGGGGGAAAGGAAACCGAAATCAAGACAAAAAGGGGTAGTATCCTCTGATTCTGTATACTGTAAATCCTCTACTTCCCCTGGAACTTTCCAGTGCTGCTTGGTCATAATTTATTTTCCCCTGTCAGTCTAGCTGGTCTTCTGGGGTAGGGGCCTGCTGTGCTGATTTTCAGGTGTGAGCATTTGGGGGAGTTGCTCAGCCCCTGCCTGGTGCAGGGCTCAGTGAAGATGTGTAAGCTGTTTATCTGGTGAGGCCACTGTGAGGCTCAGTGGGGTTGTTTATCCCGTGAAGCCCAAGAGGAACAGCAACAGTGGCTGCGGTGTGCTCTCCAGCCTGGATTCAGCCCCCGCAGTAACTACAGAGCTCTATCTGCAGGGCCTGGAGGCTCCGGGGCGGGGCCACTGATCTGCTCAGCTCTGGGCAGGAGCGTCCTTGCTGTCCTGTGCCCTCCTGGCCTCTGCCTGTCCCGAGGAGGCCGGATCCTGGGCTGTGTCCCGACGCCCTGTGCCTCCAGGACTGCGCTGTTGGATTCGCGCTCAGCGCTGTGCAGCCCCCTCCCCGCGGAGCCGCTGCCTGAACCACCTCCGAGCTGCTCCGGGTCCAGCCGTGCGTGCGCTGCAGCCCTTTAGGGAGCTCGGCCGCGGATGGTGCGCTCTCCCCTGGCGCAGGTGCTATGTTAGTGTCCCAGGGAGCCTGAGGGCATCCCCTCCCTCCTGGGATCCTGCTCTAACTCCCTGCGAACCCCTTTCTGTCCGGGAAGATTGGTGAAGCTCCTCTTTCTCTAAGCGGGGCTTTCCTGTCCTGGGGACACTCGCCCCGGCCTCAGCCCGGCTCCTCGCGGGGCCCCTCCCCCTCGGAGGCCTTTTGTTTCTTTATTTCTTTTTCCCCGTCTTCCTACCTTGATAGAAGCATGAACTCTCCTCACTGTAGCATTCCAGCTGTTTTCTCTTTAAACCTCAGGCCGAATTAGATTTTAAGGATGATTTGAAGGTTATCTAGGTAATTTGTTGGGGACAGGTGACTTGGGGACCCTACTCTTCCGCCATCTTGCCCCGCCCTCCTACTTTCCATTATTTTACAGAAAGGTGTAGCCAAGTTTGACTTCCCAGAGTGTGGATAGGTTATTAGAAACAGGGAGGTCAGAGGTACCTTCCCTGGTCATTCCCTTTCACAACTTTGCTTGCCATTACCTCAAATGCAAGCCCAGAGAGCATCATTAGCAATTTTATAGAGGTAAAAATCACTGGTTTTGACTAAGACATTGGCTCCTGTGAAAGTTTCATCCTCTTCCCTTGACAATTAGAGCTGGGTATTTTTTCCAGCACCATCATTTTTAAAGCTGTCTTACTCTTTAGCTACCCACTAAGCATGCTAGCCCAAAGGCTCAAAAGCCAAGTCAGATCACCTTTGTTGGGTTTGTTGATATTTAGTGATAAAAATGAAATCAACTTTGGGATCCCTGGGTGGCACAGCGGTTTGGCGCCTGCCTTTGGCCCAGGGCGCGATCCTGGAGACCCGGGATCGAATCCCATATCGGGCTCCCGGTGCATGGAGCCTGCTTCTCCCTCTGCCTGTGTCTCTGCCTCTCTCTCTCTCTATCATAAATAAAAATTTTTTTAAATGAAATCAATTTTAATTTATTAAATTCTTTCCTCTTGACATATAGAGAAAAAACTTTTAAACTGTAACACATGAAATCATGAAAATATCAAAATTTTTTTCTAAATCCTACCAAACATAAACTCAAAATCCAAACAGACTGAAATCTTTTCTTGAAAAAAATTAGTTATGAAAACAAATTGTAACATCAGAGATTTGTCTCTGGTGCCCTCCTAGAACTCCCTCCTTCCAGTGGCCCCTAGTCCCCATTGCCTTCCCCTTTGGTTCTTTCAGTTGGGTCCTATCCTAAGTGGATCCTATGTACAGCTTGATGATTCTTTCCTCTCCCCTTCCTTCCCACATCCCCATAAATATGCCATATACCTAAATATGCCACTGCCCAGAAGCCCCCACCTGTCTTCATTCTCAGGTGCCTTGTCTAAGGCACTCTTACACTCTTACACACTCTTTGTTTCCCATCTTTTTGTCTCACAGATCAGTGTCTCTTCTCTTCTCCTGTCCCAAAGAAGAGGTGGCCTTTACAAACCCACTGAAGCCAGCAAATTCACTTCCATTTCTTTTTTTTTTTTGGTATATCTATGAACATTTATTTTTGCAACACAAAAGTATATAAAATAGAAGCTCTTCACCTACTGCCCCATCCTATTCCTTTTTTTCTGAAAAGAAAAAAAAAGCTTTTCCAGACTTTTTCTGTACTTTTTGAAATGCCAATCTATAACAGAAGGCATACATTAATCTATAATATGCATATCATACGTATGTACACTTAGAGAACTTTGGGGGTTTTGTTTCATACAAACAATTTTTTTCATTGAATAGTATAATGGACATGCCTCCAAAACAGTATACAGTATCTATTCCCTTCTTTTACATATTTCTTGTGTTTTCAAGCTTTCTTCAGCTGTCTCCTCCATGGTTCAAGTTCTCCCATTATTCAAAACAACCTTGGGGGCACCTGGGTGGCTCAGTGGTTGAGCCACCTTTGGCTCAGGGCGTGATCCTGGGGTCCTGGGTTCGATTCCCACATCGGGCACCCCATGGACAGCCTGCTTCTCTGTGTGTCTCTCATGAATAATTAAATAAAAAAAGAACCCTGTATCTCTCAGCAATGTATCCTACCCCACGCCTTCCTTTCAAAGCCAGGAGTCCTTGAAGATCCTCCCATATTGACTGTACTTGCTTCCCACCTACTCCCTGGTCCTTGCAGTTTGGTGTCTGCCTCTCCCCTCCCCATATCTGCTCAAAAATCTACCTTTTTCTCCTCCTTAGGGCCTCCTGCAGCCCTGGGCACTGCTGAGCGTGCTCTCCTTATAACTCTCTTTACCCTGTTCTTACTACTCCCAAGGACCTTATAGCTTACATGGTCCCCAAGCAGGGGTGATTTTGCCGTCCGGTGGGCATGTTATAGTATCTGGAGACATTTCTGGTTGTCACAATGGAGGAGTAGGTGCTATTGCCATCTGGTGTGGAGGCTAGTGATTCTACCAAACAACCTAAATGCATAGAACAGTACCCTGAAACACATAAGTATCCAACCCAAAATATCAAGAGTACCGAGGTTGTGAAACCCTGCCCTAGAGAAATTTAAACAAGCCCAAGGACATTTCTGACAAATATAGGCCCTTTAATAACTACCTAGGGATTTGGCCCAAAATCTTGAAAATAATTGTATCTGTTCCCAAATGAGACAACTCAAAGTCATGTCCAGATGTTGCAGAGATGTACCAGGCTCATGACAGCTTCAGGTTCTAGGTCCACAGGACCCAGATAAAATCCAAGGCTCCTCCAGTTGTTTGTGTGGTACAGGTGGTGTGACCCCTTACCAACCTTCCACCTATGGGCTAAACCATACATTCAGCCATGCTCAATACAGCGTATAGTCATAAGAGGGGAGACACAGACAATCCTTCCCCTCCCCCTTTCTTGGTTTACCCCCTCCCTCTGGAAATTGATTTCCACTGGAATATATTCTGTTCCACATTTCTGAATTCACTGAGGGCTTTGTAGCCAGATTCTTCTCCCACTATTATCCTGGTGATGGGTTGGGGGAGAGAATCCCTCAGGATGGCAACATACTTTGGTCAGTGGTCTAAACCAGTAAACCCTCTGGGCACCATCAGTGCTGATTCACCTCCTTGGCAGCGGCATGAGTTCCCTGTTCAGATTTGACTGTACCCAGTTCTGCCAACTGGGTACTGGGAGGATTCTTCAATCATAGGGCTGAACAGCCTTAGCCATCCTTGCCTGCAGCTGATGCTGGTGTCCTCTGTACACAGCCCTGAGAGATTCCCTTGGGGTGGCAAATCTCTGCTGGGCTGTAAGCCTGTGGTTAACCTCAGGCCTGTTTTGATTGTTTCTTGCGATACAACTTGATCAGAACACGAACAAGTTTCCTGTCCAGGTCCTGGAGACTCTTGGGATGCAGGAATCCCCACCTCCCATCACTCCCTGACATACCTCCCGGGCCAGTTCTGACATTTTCTTTGATGGTCTGTGGTTTGCAACTATTCTTTCCAATTTCTAACTTGGAAATAATCTGGTTTCCTAGAACAGGAACCCACTCAAGTTAGCTTACAGAAAAAGGGATCTGTACAGAGTGCATTTTCATATAGCACAATTGCAGGAAAAGTTGTTACACCACCACTCTCTCTCTCTCTCTGAGGTTGCAGGATCAACTCCTGCAAGCTTCTCTGTGCTTGTATACTCCCTAGGACTTCATACTGGCATCCTCTAAAAGACATCTGGCCTCTGTAAAGCACATGGTTATGCTCCCTCACATCCAGAGTCAGGTCTCAGCTGTGGCCTCAATACCTATGATTCTGACCTTGGCCCCAACTCCAAAGGACCCACTGTATCCTTCCCCAGCATCAACCTATGGAATCTGCCTCTCTGTTCAGATTCTCTAGAGTGAGAACCTGTTTGGCCCAGGATAGGTCAAATGTCCACTCCTGCTCCAATCACATACAGCCTAGCCTTGTCATATACATGGCTGCTCAGGTCCAGCAGATACTAGCGTTGGGGAAGGAGACACATACTAAGAAGCTAAGGTGCTTCTGGGGTGTGGAATGCTAATGCTCTGGAACACAAAGGGGGTAATCAAAGTAAGTCTTTATGTTTTACTCCTGCCCCCAACCACCCAATCTATATACCCTCCCCTGCCGCCATGCCATACCCCACCTCCCAACCCACTTTTCCACCTCTTTCATAACCCCCTTGCCCCATCTGCACACCCTCCCTCACCCTTCCCCTCCCTCTGAAAATTGATTTCCCACTGGGATATATTTATGTTCTATTTCACATTTCTGAATTCACTGAGGGCTTTGCAGCCAAATTCCCCTCCCACAGTGGAAGCAGATTTCCCTCCGTGAAAAATTCACAGCTTTACACCAAGGACAGTCCCAATCCCCAGGCCTGCGAAATATGGGAAGTCTTCTCTGCTGATAGGGTTCAGAGTTTCGCCTGTCTCTTTGGGATTCTTGAGTTTCTGTTCCCTGGGACCCTGCATCAGACCACACAGTAACATCAGAGGGCTTCCAGTGGGGAGATGTTGGAGATGGAGCGCCTGCTGTGAACGTTGCTGCTGGTGGGGATGGTGTGGGTGCAGGTGGGAAGGGGGATGAGGGGCATGAGTAGGAGTATGTGAATGAGGCAGGGAGCTGGACAGGAAGGGGTGATGTTGTGTCTCTGGACCCCCGCTTCATGGTCCCAGAGAAATAAAACATGGCTGTTTCTATTGATCTGAGATCTCCCTCCCTCTGCCCACCAGTGGTGTAATTTTTCTGCTCCTCAGCTCCAAAAATGTGTGTGGGGCCTCTACCCAGTTTCTTTGTGACCTCTGACCCTTCTGAGTCCTTCTGTCGTCGTCTTCCTCTTCTTATGGTGTCAGCAGTTGTAGCAGAAGTAGCAGCAGCCCCCGCCTCCTCTTCCTCCTCACCTGCTCCTTCTGTCCCAGCCCCACTGGCAGTGGTCAGGCCTGGCTCCTCTGCGACCTGGACCCTCTGCTCCCGCTCCCGCGGAGACCCCAGCTCCTAGAGAGAAGTGGGCAGAGTTGAGACCCATTCTGGGAGTAATAAGGGGGTGGGGCAGGGGACCAAGGTGAAGTAATCTTACAGCCCGGAGGAGCTTCCACCTCAGGAGATCCTGTTCCTTCTGCATCTCCGTCAGGTTGGCTTGTGTCTGCCGCAGCTGAAAGGCTGCCTCTTGGCGCTCCATATCTTGCTGTGCTGTGAGCTCCTTTAGGTCTGAAGCCAAGGCCTGTGTGGCGGACTTATGCAGTTTGGCGAAGTCCTGGAGCCAGTGTACCCTGCGCCCCTGTAACTGGCCCTGCTTGTGGGCAAAGCGCACGCCCAGGGCCAGGCTGCTCCAGGCACAGGCCTCTTTGGCCTCGCTGGACACTGTGGTGTCCTCCAGGATGGTCCTGAGCTTGTTCTCCACCTCCTCCCAGGACAGGGATAGATTTTCGAGGTAGAACTCGGGGCCTTTTGTGTGCCCGGCCATCTTCTCATTGATGAAAGCTACCACCTTGTCGTGCTGGAAACCACCACTAGGGTCCTCGGGTTTCAAGGCCATGATGACTGAAGGCCTTAGGGGTTTGGCTGGCCCTGTGGGGTGAATCAACCAGTTGCCCCTGCCCCTCCCCTTTAGACCCAGCCCACTTGATCTCTTCCCTTCGGATGGGACCACCCCGCTCCCCTCCGCCCCCCTCACAAAGACCCCTGACTGGCTTGCCCTGCCCTAGTACACTTCTCACCAGACCTCGCCTTTCTAGCTGTGGTTAGAGGAGGTGCAGACGTATGGCGCCCGCCTACCATACCAGTACCAGAAGAGAAAGCGTACCTCTCTCTCTCGAGGTGCTCCGAAGAAAGGAAGTCTCCAGGCCAACCCTCAAGGCTTTTACCCTGGGAGTGTTCCAACTTCCAGAGACAGTGGGGGTGGGAAGGAATGCATGAGGAAGGTCCTCCATCTCCTCCCCAGGACATAAGGGAACTTGCTACAATTTTGAAAGTCCTCGACGTGGGTGAAGAAACAGGAGGGGTCAGGAAAGACAGAACTGAGAATGTGAAACACTCGTAATCAAGTATAAAAGTTTCATTCTCCACTCTCCCCCCCCCCGCACCATAATGGTTTGTCCCACAGCAGGGGCCCCTCCCCTCCTACGGTGGAATGTTCTAGAATGGGGGGAAAAGCTCCCTCCCCACCAGGAAGATTCTGTATCTATCTCCTGTTCCAGACATTCCTGAACTAGAATACGAAAGTCAGCATGCATATATATATATATATATATATATATATATATATATATATATATTTTTTTTTTTGTAAAGGGCCAGGTACTAATTATTTGAAGCTTTGTAAGCAAAAGATCTCTATCCCAACTACTTGTAGCATAAAACATGCATTAAAAATACTTGAAGAAATAAGATTGGACAGCGCGGGTGGCTCAGTGGTTTAGCGCCACCTTCAGCCCAGGATGTGATCCTGGAGACCCGGAATTGAGTCCCACGTCGGGCTTCCTGCATGGAGCCTGCTTCTCCCTCTGCCTGTGTCTCTGTGTCTCTCATCAATAAATAAATAAATAAATATAAAAAAATAAATTAATTAAAATTTTAAAAAAAGAAATAAGATTGGCTATATTCCAGTAAAACTTTATGTATAAAAACAAGCAACTGGCAGGATTTGGCCTGTAGTTTAACAACTCCTGGTTTAGAGTCAATTTCACCCTTCCCCCCAAGAAATGATTTTCCTCCTATATTCCTATGTTCGGTTTAGAAACTTCAAAATCGTCAACAGCACTTGCCTTTAATAACATAGCAAATTGATCCCCAAGTCTTGTTGCTACTGTCTCAGAAACTTCTTTTGATATCCAGTCCCATTTAAAGAATGCCTGCATTGCCTCCTAAATAATCTCCCTAACTTTAATCTCTTTCTAACTCCTGTTTCCTATGATCATGCTACTTTCAAGCTTAAAAGTATTTGATGGCTTCCTGTGACACACTCCTTGGCCTAATATTAGAATTTCCTTTAGTCTATCTTTCTAATTTAATTCTCTTTATTCTCTTTTCTGTGCTATTATTTATTCACTGGAGGGACTGGCCATGTAGATACACTCATTTTGGGTTTTAATTTATTTTTCCCTTTGAAAAAAATCAGAAATTCATTATTTATTATTTGGGAATTATGTTTTGTTTTGTGAACTCACATTGAAATAGATTAACATTTCTTCTCTAAGTGTCTTGCATCAGATAGAAAAAAATAATGTCCCAGGCATCAAAACATTACTTAAGAAGATGGATAAATCCCAGAGGTTTAAATCCTATTGTTTTAGCTCTCTTTTTAAACTGTTATTTTTTTCCATTTCAATTTATGTATTTTATTTATTAGTCTTAAATGGAAAGGGTTCATGTTTTGGCTTGTTCTGCAGTGACTTCTTCTTTTTATAATTTTATTTATTTTTTCGAGAGAGAGAGAGAGAGAGAGGCAGAGAGAGGGAGAAGCAGGTTCCATTCAGGGAACCTGACGTGGGACTCTATCCCCGGTCTCTAGGATCATGCCCTGGGCTGAAGCGGCACTAAACCGCTGAGTCACCCAGGCTGCCCCTGCAGTGACTTCTGAAAGATCATTCAGGAGATAAATGTAGAAATTGAAATGGCAAGGAAAGAGGGGAGATACTGGAGTCAGGGAGACACATTAAGGATATGTCACAATAATTCCATATGTAAACTAAGGCAGTGGAAGTTAGAGTGGAGAGAACAGTGTAGAGAGCTCTTTGGTTGATAGAATTCATAGAAATGTCAGGGGTACAGATGAGAAAATGAGTAAGGTAATTCCCAGGTTTCTGATACAGGACACTAGTAGATAGTGATGCTATAGACTTAGATGGAGAATGAAAAAGAAGCTGTTTGGGAGGGAGTTCACCTGTAGACATATTGATATTGAGATACCTGTAGGGCATCCTAAGAGAGATACCCCCACAGGCAGTTAGATATATGAGTCTAATACTAGGACAGACATTAGGGCTGGAGACATAATATTGAAAAGTGGAAGTTGGGTTCTAAGTTGTAGTTGAAATAACCCAGGGAGAAGATAGCAATAAGGACAGGGTGCTGAGGACAGTTCTCTTACAACTCTCCACTCTCACTGATAGCTTTATAGCTGACCTGATTGCTCCTTTGCCTTCTATGCTTCTGGCCTCAGAACATTTCTTACCCTTTTTTATTCCTTCTATAGCACTGTAAACCTGGACTTCAGGTTGTGATCACTTGTATCTGTATGCTATCATTATTCCACTTCTGCTTATAAATTCTTTTAGAAGATTTTCATTTTTTAAGTTGTTATTTAAATTCCAGTTCATGAACATACAGTGTAATATTAGTTTCAGGTATACAATATAGTGATTCCATACTTCCATACAACACCCAGTGCTCATCACAAATGCACTCCTTAATCTCCAGCACCTATTTAACCTGTTGCCCTACCTACCTCCCTTCTTGTAACCATTAGTTTGTTCTCTATAGTTAAGAGTTCATCTCTTGGTGTCTCTCTCTCTCTCCCCTATGATTATTTGTTTTGTTTCTTAAATTCCATGTATGAGTGAAATTACATGGTATTTGTCTTTCTCTGTTTTTGCTTAGTAAAATAATTTCTAGCTCTATTCATGTCATTGGAAATGACAAGATTTCATTATTTTTATGGCTAATATTCCTGTGTGTGTGTATGTGTGTGTGTATCACAGATTATTTATACATTCATCAGTCCATGGACATTTGGGCTATTTCCCTAATTTGACTATTGTAGATAATGCTGCTATAAACATCAGGGTGCATGTATCCCTCTGAATTAGTATTTTTGTGGGGTTTTTTTTGGTAAATATCTAGTGGTATAATTGCTGAATCATAGGGAGGTTCTATTTTTAACTTTTGGAGGAACCTCCATACTGTTTTCCAGTGTTGGCTGCACCAGTTTGCATTCCCACCAGTAGTGCTAGAGGGTTCCTTTTTCTCCACATCCTTGCCAACACCTTTCGTTTCTTGTGTTGATGATTTCAGCCATTCTGACAGGTGTGTAGTTTTGATCTGTATTTCCCTGATGATGAGTGATGTCTACTGCTTATTTTTAAATTGGATTATTCATTTTTTGAGTTTGATAAGATCTTTATAGATTTTTGATAATAACCCTTTATCAGATATGTCATTTGCAAATATCTTCTCCCATTCCAAAGGTTATCTTTTAGTTTTGTTGATTGTTTCCTTTGCTGTGCAGGAACTTTTTATTTTGATGAAGTCCTAATAGTTTATTTTTGCTTTTGTTTCCCTTGCCTCAGGAGACCTATCTTGTAAGAAGTTGCTGTGGCCGATGTCAAAGTGGTTAGTGCTGTGTTCTCCTGTAGGATTTTAATGGTTTCCTGTTTCAGATTTAGGTCTTTAATTATTTTGAATTTAGTTTTGCATCTGGTGTAAGAAAGTGGGCAAGTTTCATTCTTTTGCATGGTGTCCAGTTTTCCCAATACCATTTATGGGAGAGACTGTCTTTTTTTCCCATTGAATATTCTTTCTTGCTTTGTTGAAAATTAATTGACCATGTAGTTGTGGGTTCATTTCTGGGTTTTCTATTCTGTTCTCTTGATGTATGTATCTATTTTGTGCCAGTACCATACTGTTTTCATCCATACAGCGTTGAGTTTTCAAATTTATTTTTGCAAGAGACAGAGCTCGAGAGCACATGCACAGGAGCGGGGGGGGGGGGGCAGAGGGTGAAGTGGACTCCATGCTGAGCAGGGAGCCCTTTGCAGGACTCTACTCCTGTATCCTAGGATCATGACCTGAGCCAAAGGCAGATGCTTAATTGATTGAGCCATCCAGGTGTCCCATCAATATAACTTTGTAATATAACTTGGAGTCTAGGATTGAGATGCCTCCAGGTTTGCTTTTCTTTTTTTCTTTTTTTCAAAAAAGATTTTATTTGTTTATTCATGAGAGACACACACAGAGAGAGAAGCAGAGACACAGACAGAGGGAGAAGCAGGCTCCATACAGGGAGCCCGACGTGGGACTCCATCCCAGGTCTCCAGGATCAGGCCCCAAGCTGAAGGCAGTGCTAAACCGCTGAGCCACCCGGGCTGCCCCTGCTTTTCTTTTTCAGGGTTGCTTTGGCTATTTGGGGTCTTTTGTGGTTCCAAACATTTTAGGATTGTTCTAGCTCTGTGAAAAATGCTTTTGGTATTTTGGTAGGGATTGCATTAAATGTGTAGATTGCTTTGGGTAATATAGACATTTTAACAATGCTTATTATTCCATCCATGAGAATGGAATGCTTTTCCATTTCTTTGTATCCTTTTCAGTTTCTTTCATCAGCATTTTATAGTTTTCAGAGTACCAGTCTTTCTTCTCTTTGGTTAAGTTTATTCTTAGATATCATGCGGATTTTGGTGTAATTGTAAATGGGATTGATTCCTTAATTTCTCTATCTGTTACTTCATTATTGGTGTAGAGAGATGCAACAGATTTCTGTATGTTGTTTGTATCCTGCGACTTTACTGAATTAGTGTATCAGTTCTAGTAATTTTTTGGAAG